GTTCATCCAATCCATCTCTACTATGTTCATCCAATCCATTTCATGTACATTCGTATTCCTATACGTTCATCCAATCCATCTCTACTACGTTCGTCCAATCCATTATATATACATTCGTATTCCTTTACGTTCATCCAATCCATCTCTACTACGTTCGTCCAATCCATTTCATGTACATTCTTATCCTATACGTTCGCACAATTTTTTATTTTATTTTCAAGGATTTCTCAATTTAAAAAAAACAAAACAAATTCAAATCGATTCAAAATATTCAGAGAAACATCAAGCGATTCAGCTTAAAGAGACTGGGTCACAAGGTACTTTATATTGCATCACATTAGAGCCCCAAAATGACGGTTCTTCATGCTATGCTAATTTAAAAATCAAGATGGCGGATAAATCAACCAATCAGAAGTGTTGTAGTATCTGCTTGCCACATCATCCACGGTCATTCTCTCTCAACTTCTTCAAAATGGACTTCTTTCTTTCTATATTTAACTAATATTTAGACTAAAATAGGAGCCTAAAATGTCTTGGTTAACCCCTAACTTGAATATCTCGGACAGCTTGTCCTCTCTTACCAATATAACTGGTCAGATTTCGAATTTTACTCGTGAAATGCTGACTGAAGGTACCGAGGAAGTAGCAGGTAAACACTTTATAGTTATTACTTGTATGGTGCATAGAAATCCTAATATTAGTACCATTTAAGCATGATTTAAACCTCTTTAACACCGAGATAGTAATAGATGACCCTCCTTGAAGATCGATAAGATATTATATTTTTTTCTAAAGTAGATCACTTGATTTTCATTCATTTTGATCTCAAACGTAAATAAATTGCATTCAAGAAGCTCGATTACCTACAGGAATAATATTTTTTATCTATTGTAGATCCTTCAGCTGAATTAGATATTGCAAAACAACGAATTAAGGAGCTTGAAATCGTGGTAGAGAAGCAGAAGCTTGAGGTGAGTAAAACACAGCTGTGTAGCTGTGTTTAATTTAAACACACGTATTTATACTTGATTAAACATTGATTTGTTAATGACAAGATTAATGTATGTAGCTTGTAATTATTGATATTCCTATTGTCAATACGCTTGATAATTAAACTATTCTGTTTTTAATTTGTGTTTTAGTATGAAAAAATAACGAAAATAAATGAGGAATTGCAGGAGAGAGCAGAGGCTTCTGACTTACAGGCAAGACATGTTGCCAGAGATTACAGGGCAAAGCTAGACCAGAAGGAGGTACTGTAAGACAAATGCAGAATATGAACTATTAGATATCGTATATAGGTCAGGTGAGCCATCAACCAACATACAAATACCCTATTGGAAGTGTGGTATCCATCACAGACTGCATTACATGCGACCCAGTGTGGTGGATCTGTGATATAGCCTGTATGATGTCAATCACATATTCTATATCTATATTTTGTAACTCGTTTGTACTTGATAAGGATTTTTATGTTTGTCACATTTAGCAAGAAATGAAGAAACTAAAAGAAGAGATTGACAGTCATAAACATGATGATGGTAGCCAGGAAACATCATGGAACAGAACAAGACACGACTCAACAGACAGCATGGATGAACATGTAGAAATCAAGAAACTGAAAAAGGATATTGTTAGGCTTCAGACAGAGTGTCATCACTGGAAAACTCTATCAAGCTCACAGGTTAGAATCACCGCAATAGTAACAGACACTTGGTAATACCTTACCAACTACACTCTATTCCCTGTATCCCCTTGTCAAACCTTGGGTTCATGTATCATATAAACTTTCATTTTGGAACAAAGTTGCATTTACTCATATTATCATATTACAATTATTATTATGGCACCTGTTCTTATGGTAACCATTGTTCTGAGGGGAATGGTATATGGCGTGGCAGAGGCACAATCAGCTTCCACTTCTGACCCCTCAGTTCATTTATAGTAACATGGCTATGGTTTAGAATAGGCTCTCAAAATCATTGTCAGTACTGTAACGACAATCTACCTGTATGGACAGTGATTCTGGGATCTCATTCATAACTGATGCTCAGTGAAAATGATATATCAATATTGATTTTATAAATATTGAAAGTAATTGTATTTGTAGTGGGTGTAGAATGTGTTGTATACATAAACACTAGCCCCTGGCTATAGAGACTCGGCAATGAAGCTCCATATCATGACGTATGATAATTTCAGTTCCATCTATAAGCCAGTGGTTTGCTTTCCTAGATCATATTTGATTTACAATAAAATCAATCTCTCTTAGGACAGTCAGGATAAGTTGCACAGAGAGATTGACCAGTATCAGCATGAATTATCTACTCTTCAAAGCACTTACTCCCAGAAGATTGCCAACCTGAACAAGAAGCACAAGCTAGAGATGCAAAAATGGGAGGAAGAGAAGCAAGGTTACCTGAGAAAGATGGAGGATTTACAGCATGARCTCAAGATACTAGAAGGTAACATAGGATAAGTACATTTTATCTCTCTTTTACATGATCATACAAGTATCAAAAGAGTCTCAAGCACATCAATGAAGTGCTGTAATATGTGACAATGCTTGGTCCAGTGAGGACCAAATACATGTACAACAATAAGCAACCATTTCTGATATTACAGCTAAAAAGTATACTGAAGATGACTTTCACAGTCRAAAACGTTTTATTTTGAAAACCTTTTTTAGAGACATCTTTCTATCCTTGTAAATACATATTTTATCAAGAAGCAATATCATGACAGCCAAGAAAAAGATACCAATATTCATGGTTTCGTTATGCTTTTACTCTCTTCTTCAGTAGGCCAAGAAATTTCAGAAAACATATTTAAAACCAAGAAAAGGAGAGACTATTAACAGTATGATTTGATTACATATCAGCAAATATATTGATGTTTTCTTTGTTTTACTTGTTCAGAAGTGGACAATCTTGAAGGCATGAAATCATCTTCAAGCAGTACAGGTGATGATGTTGCTGCTTTGAAAGAAGAGCTGGAGTTGGCCCATGATACTATCACCAACCTTCGTCAGCAGCTTGATAAAGCAGCTGAATCATTCAAACTAAATGAGACTGAATTTGAAAACATGAGGAAAAACCTAGAAGAAAGTACAAGCAAGCAGAGTGAAACACAAGAACAGTTGGCTGAGATGGAAAAACGGGAGACAGAATCAAATAAACACAAAGAAAGGAGCACAGATATCCAAGATCTACATGCACAGCTTGTTGAAAAAGAAAATGCTCTGGCTTCACTATCAAATGAAATAAACATCCTAAAAGAGCAACTAAATGAACGGGAAGATGAAATTTCATCCATCAGGGAAGAGAAAAATGAACTGAAATCTCAGGAGAACAAGCTTCGTAGTTCTCTTAGTGAAGTGAAAAAAGAGCTAGAGATGTTGAGTTCTTCTACGTTGGAGCTAATGGAGGAGCTGGAGTATTCACAGGGAAATCAAGAGGAACAGAGAGTTGAGATTGAAAGCTTGAGAAAGGTTTGCCTTGTCAAGGGGGATGCTAAGGATGAAATAATCCATCTCAAGACTATTATTGGTGGTAAGGATTTTCATTCTTATTCTCTACTTTCACATCCCCATAATACTTTGCCTCTTTGGGGGGTAACCAGAGGGTAAAAACCCACTTATTTTGCTGTAGGCTGATCAGACAATGTTGACAATACCTTGTTTGGTATCCAAAAATAAAATGAAGAAGTAAAAAACAGAAAAAGATAGAAGCTTGAAGACGTTTAAGGTAAATTTTAAGCATTTTTTCGTAAGTCAATTCGTTTTCTGTAAGACCAAAACTCTTGATGATCTGTACACGCAAAAATAACTTGGAATAAACTGATAATCAGTATTGTGCAGATAAAAGAAGGTATAGTATAAATTAAATAAAGAAACTTTTCAATTTGGGACAGTTTTTTGATTGGTTACCCCCCAAAGATGCAAGGGATTATGGGAATGTAAAAGTAGAGAATAGGAATGGTTGTCATTTCTATGGACTAAGGTGAAGTTTTGTTAAGTGTCTGCTCAAACATTAGAATGCTGAACCTTTCTTGATAGAGATGGTGAAAAACAAGGCAAGAGAGATATAACATGTACAGAAAAGAAAAGACAAACTAAAAAAAGAAAAAAAAAAGAGGGAAAGAGAGAGTTAACAGTCAGCATAAGTTTTGGTTTTTTCAGTTTTAAACTAAAAATGGTGATAATTACACCAACACTCTATTCTTTTTCTTCTTTCACAGCTCTGTGGGATCGCTACGTAGCAACACAGCAGTTATATCAGAAGGTCAGACATGATTTACACTCAAGCAATCAGAGACTTTTGGCACAGTTACAAGCCAGACATGTAATGAATACTTCTAATATCTCAGCACTGGCTGAAAGGAAACAAGAAGAATTGGCATTTGCTGCATGCCAGCTTCTGCTCAGTTTGTTTGCTGACAAGGAACGCGTAGCTGAGCTTAAAAACAATATTGTAAGACACTCGCTGCTTCAATGTTGCTCAGTTCGAACCAAAAGCCTAAACTTTTGTAAATTGAACTTCTCATCTCTGCTCTCAGCTTAACTTCTTTTTCTGAACTTCTAAAACTTAAACCAAAGCACTTTAAAAAACTACTTTTTAAGGATTTTWAAAAAAAATTTCACATTCCTTCACTTCCAATTATTTTTAAACAGCATGTTTTTTCTTTAAAGATTAATTTATGTTCAACTTTCTCTAGCTTGGCATAACTCAACTCTCRCATCTACTGAACTCTTTATTCCCAAACTTGAAAATGCACTGGTTCAGTAATTTATATTAATGCTATTGCTTAAAACTAAGTAAAAATTGCTTAAAGCTTCTACTAAATTCTTCAACTTTGCCTTATTTTTAGTTTTTTTTTCATATAGGGAAATGTTTGTGCATGATAATTTTYTTAATTTAGCATGTCGAGACTACGAGTATAAAGTGAACTTATTATGATGTGGCAAACGCGTCTAAACTTTACAGTAACTCTTCAAAACGTAGAATAAATTATATTTTTGGTTAAAAAAGTTAAAAAAGTTAACATATAAAGTTGAGTAGCTGAGCACGCATGTGACAAGACCTTGTAGTGTGTTGCAGTTCGTTCTTCTTGTTTTCTTTTGGTCCAGTTTTAATATCCATTCGTAACATACGCGCACACACACTAGCCTAGAAAGATTAACAAAACCAAAACATACCTGCTCATATTCCTGGAACTTTGATTCGTGATTTGAGAACATTTTTCGGCTCCAAAATCCGCGTCTTCAGATGTTGATGTTCCATAGTTAGTGTCTGTGTATGGCGACTCTTGTATTCTTGCTTGCTAAATTACGAAGAGAAATGGCAAATCTTTAATTCGATTAACATTTATCGTAATTTATCAAATTCTTTTCTCTTTTCCGCTTTCTTCCTAAGCGTTTTTCTTTGCTTAGACTGCTTTCTGATATTAACATTTTGCTTATTATTTTTTCTTTCCTCTTCTGCGTCCACTTATTTACTTTCATTTAGATATATTATTAGATATATGTTATTCATCATTACTTTGTTCTTCTTGCAGGCCAACAGTCAATCCATTCGACAACAGGTCGCCGATGTAAAAGCAAAACTAAGCGACAAAAATACCAAACGCCGAGAGAAAATCCATCWAGAGAAAGAGCAGTTCATAGCAAGATCTTCCGAGCTGAGAACACAGATTGACGAACAAGAGAGCCTAGTGGACGATCTACGAGCAGATAACGAGCAAATTGTCCAAGAAACTAAAGAGCTTATTTCAGAAATAGGTTGCCAAACAAACAACGATTCTCTAGACGAAGGCAACGACTTCGTAGTGTCGTTACAAGCAGAAAAAGCTGTTTTAGAATCTACCATTGTTGGGCTACAAAACAAAGTGCAAGAGTTGAAGGAAAAGCTTCGTGTAAAAGAAGGCAAGCCTGCTAAACTCGACTCAAGTGATTATTATTTTGGTGAAGGAAAGGGACTTGACTTTTCTGATAGTGTGACTGAAGCAGAGGTCGAGTCTATGGAGAGTATACCCTTGAATGAGGAGCAGAACTCACTGAGAGGTTCTACATTAGAAAAAGAAGTTRATGATGACCAAGAACTCGTCATAGAACAACTGAAACAAGAACTCGAGGAGTACCGCTCGAATATAGAAGATTTAGAATATATTAGATCTGACCTAGAGAATGATAAGAGTACTTTAGAACAAGTGGTTATCAACTTGAGAACACAGATCAAGGAGCTACGTGAGGACATGAAAAAAGTCGAAGAAAACTCGTCMATGAAGACAACTAAAGGTGCAGAGGAACTGCAATCACTACAAGAAGAAAGAGAGAAGTTGATTCGAGAAAAGAACGACTTGATGAAGTCTCAGAGGGGATTTGAAGACGAGTTAGTGGAATCTGGGATCATTAGGAAAGAGGATACAATTKCTTTTGACAACGAACTCGAAAAGAATGATGTATTAAGGTTACATTTGAAGGAATGGGTCATTCGTACGAGAAAAGCGCTTAGGGAATCTGAAGAACGACAAGCTAATGAATCTATAGTAAGCATAAGTCTAGAGGAGAAATCCATGCTTGAAGAGAAATACCAGAACGCTAAGAAAATGATTGAAGAATTAGAAGGAGATAATTCTATTCTACGAGAGCAAACCAACGATCTAATCCACCAGATAAAAGCTAAATCTACTGAAGTTGAGTTAATAAGCGCCCAGCTGAAAGAAAAATGTTATGAAGTAAGAAACTTTGAGAAAGAAAAACATATGATAACAATGATCAACGAAAAGGATTCCAAAATTCTGGACCTTCAGGATAGACTTGAATTGCTGATCTCTGATGTTCCCGTGTCTAAAGAAGRTGACTATCAGATGCTCCATGATAAGCCTGAAGAGATGAAGAAAGAGAGAGATAAGTACAGGAAATCCAATGAGGAACTGATAGAATCTTTTCAAGAAAAGCAGAAAGAACATGAAGATGTGATCCAGAAGCAAGAAGAGGTTGTACAAATGCTTGAAGAGAAGAAAATAGAATGCGAGAAATATCAAAAAACGAATGAGGAACCAATGAATTTTAATGAGGAAAGGGAGAAAGAGATTGAAGATATCATTGTGAAACAACAAGAGATGGAGAGACTTCTCGAAGAAAAACAGAAAGAGTGTGAAAAATATCAAAATTCGAATGAAGAATTGATGGAGTCTTTCCAAGAAAAGCAGAAAGAGATCGAAGAACTCAATCTCAAACAAGAAGAGTTTGAGAAAATGCTAGAAAAGAAACGGAAGGAATGCGAGAGGTATGAAAAATCAAATGAAGAATTGATGAACTCGTTTCAAGAGGAACGCCAGGCCTTTGAATCCCTTGGACACGAACAAGAAGGAATGGTACAAATATTCGAAGAAAAGAGAAAAGAATGTGAGAAATACAAGCAAGCAAACGAAGAACTGATGATTTCATTCCAGGAAAAGCATCAATCTTTCGAGGATCTTAGCCTACAGAATACCAGCCTGTCTGAGCATGTACGAGAGAGTGAGACACTTCTACGGGACCTAAGACAAGAAAAGGAGAATCTTTTAGCTTTATTGGAGAGTAAGGAACAACTTGTTAAGTCGTTGTCCGAGGAATCTAAAAGCTTTGCTGCTGAAAAGGAAGATTTAAGCCTGGTAGTACAGGAATATCAAGACAAGCTACATACCAAAGAGCAAGAAGCTGCAGAAGTCTCGCACTTACTTTTTGAAGTTGACCAGCTTAAAAGACAAGCTCGTGACAGAGAATTGAGTAAAAAATCCCTGGAGGAAAGAATTTCTTGTCTCTCAGCAGATAATGAGAGGCTAAGTACTTCTTTAGACGAAAAGAATATGGCGTTGAGTCATCTTGAAGCGGAGTTAARAGAGAAAAGAGTTGAAGTGGAGCACCTGGATTTGGAGATGGATAAACTGAACGAGTTGGTCGGTAGTAATGTTGCTGTGAGGCGAGATTTAGAGCATCAAATATCTTCCCTCAAGAAGAAGAAGGAAGACATAGAGAGACTATTAGAGGAAAAAGACAGTGCTATAGATACTTTGAAGCTTGAWTTAAGAGAAAAGGGAGCAGAGAACGATCTCATTAGGCTAGATGTGACGAGAATGACTAAAAATCTCAAAGAAAAAGAAATGCTGTTTCAGAGTGGAACCCAAAGTCCAGAACAAGAGACTCAGAATCAAGTTTCTCGAATGCTTYGTTTGATTCGAGAGAAAGAACAAGAAATAGAAGCAATGAAACAAAAAGAAGCTTCGTTGATTGCTGCTGTCAATCAAACAGACCAAACCAGTAATGAAGCCTTGGATCATTATATACAACAGATAACACATTTGACAGAAGAGACAAACCGCTTGATGGCAGAAGTCGAGCAAAAGGACGAGGAATTGTTGCTTGCTAATGACAGGCTTGAGGTGTTACAAGAAAAAATGAGCGGCAAATCCCAGGCTTCCGTGGTACTTCAGAGCGAACACAGTCGACTTCTTGCGCTCAACGAATCACAAGGAAATGAAATTGCAAAGATGAGAGAAAGAAACGACCACATGGGGAAACTAATAGAAGAAAAGGAAAAGGCGAAACATGATGAGATAAACCGGYTGCAGAACGAGTTCACACATCATGTCAATGAACTCAAACGAGAGCAAGAGAGGTTGCTTACWYTACTCAGTGAAAAGGATCGTCAGATTGTTGCTCTTGCTGATGCAACAGTTCCTKTATCACCAACAGCGCAGGTCTATTCCAGTCCACCTCCCCTTCTAAAGGAAGTACTACAAAAAAGCGAATCAAATGTCACTCAAWYAGGCGCCTCTAGAAGTGACGTTGARCTGAGAGATCGACAAATAGCTGCACTGAAAAGTCAGCTGTCAAATTCCAATCGAAATCTCAGAGAAAAGCTCGAGCAAAATGAAAACCTTCAAAATGAAATACAAGACCTTCGACTAAAAGGCGAAAATTTGACAAATAACCTTAGTGAACTTAAAGAAAGATCTTCGTTATTAGAAAGTAAGGACAATCGAATAGAAGCTTTAGAAGCAGAAGTTAAGGCATTGAATGAAACACTGAGTTCGAGTAGGAAGGAACTAAAGATGATTGAAGAAAGTCATTCCAACGCTAAGGAATCAATATTGTTCGAACTTGAGAGTCTACGAATTGAGAAACAAGACTTACAGGAAACTTCGAGTAAGGAAATCACAGAACTGAAAAATAAACTTATAAAGGCTTTTAATTCGTTAGGAGATTGTGAGTTCAGTATATCTGAACAAGGGTTTGAAGATATCGACAAGAACTTTAATGGAGTTGTGCAACGAGTTATCAACCAGAGAAACAATTTGTTACGGGAAAAGGATAATGAAATCCGAGCTCTTAAAGCACAAATAGCGAATCTAAATGTCCTTACACAAGCTCCAGGATCAAGAGACTATGGATTAGAAGAAATATTAAGAGAAAAGGAACTACTTAATGACAGAATCATGAGCTTACAGAACGAGAAGGATGATGTACTACAGGAAAAAGAAAGTATAGTTGCTGACTTGCAAAGCCAAGTTATTAATCTTACAAAACTCGTGAGCGACAAAGACAAATCTARAAGTCAGGATTCCGAGCGATTAATACGAGAAAAGGAACGAATGGAAAAAGAATTAGAAAGGCTAAAAACTGAAAAGGAAAGAAATGCTATTCAAATTGAAAAATTAACTTCAGAAAACAACCGCCTGTCSAGTCTGTTAGCGGAAGAAAAATCCAACGCGGCAAAACTCCACGCCAATAGTGAGCAATACAAACAGGTTTTACAGGAAAAGGACAACAGGATAAACGAGTTATCTAGGGAAAAGGACGAGTTGAATAAGGAGAGCGATACTCTTAAGCAAAGGGTTGCTCTTCTGCAAAATGATTTGACTAAAGCGTGTGGAGGGCAAAAAGAAACTGAGGCCAAGTCGAGTAGAGAGTTGCAGAGACTACGAGAACATCTTTTACAGGTATGAACTACAGCGACCCACTTTAGACAACAGCGYTAGATGCACTCTCGACCCCTGAGACCTGTCTTTGTTGCTGTGCATGCTTTAAAAATATTTCATTGAGCATGCGCAGTAAGAATGAGGAGCCTGGGATCGCCGGAAAATACAAGGATGAAAATGAAGTCAACCTGAGGTTATTTTTGATATRCTAAGACTGTTTGTAACTAACTTTTAGGTCGAGGAAAGTTACACCAGAGAGGCCATGGAAGCTRAAGAACGTGAGAAGAGTTTGAGAATGAAATTAGCCCAAGCAGAAGAACAGCTGCTATCAAGCTCTCACTCCATGCAGGATAGAAGGTATGTATTCCTCTTGTACTRCTTGTTGCAGTAAAATAAGTCTCCGTCTACGAAGAAATCCTTAACAATGCTATCTGTGCTCTATTCTGTTTCTATCTGTATTTACGTTACGCACCACCGTTATGCATTGGCAACCATTTTGTTTCAACCCCAGCAAGCAGTGCAACTTCTTTATTCTTGTTTGTTTGTGTTATCTTTATAGTCGGCAGTCTTSGCAACAGCTAGAGAGCCTTCAGGAACAGCTCCATTCTGTAGCTAGTCAAAGAGATGAAGCAGTCATGCAGCAAGCCGCTGCCCAAGAGCAGGTCCAACAGTACGCGACATCACTTGATAATTTACAGATGGTGTTGGAGCAGTTCCAAAGAGGTAAGACACCTGCACGTCACAACAACGATAAGCGCCAGGGAGATCAGCAGAGTTTGTTTCAGGGTATCCATAAATTTGTGGAGGGAACAAAAGCAGTACTCTTTCTTGATTAGATCTAAGTATTTTCTCGRTTTTCTTGTTTAACCCAGATATTGAAAAAGTAGAATGACTCTATGGATGGATGATTATCGATGAAATTCCTCTTATTTTGTTTGTAGAAAAAGAAAGTCAGTTAACAGCAGTACAAGAACAAGCTCAGCAGCAAATCAACGCAGCTCGTGCTGACGTCTTGCAGAYGCAGCAACGAGAAAATGAACTGAAGGTAAAACCAAAGAAAGTCATTCTCGTTTGTATGTTTGATTAACAGGCCCTGACAAAAAACATATATATTTGTTCTCGTAATTTTAAAGGCGCAGTTGCAGAATGCTGCCAAAATTGTTCAAGAACTTGGCAGATTGAAGCAAGAGGTAGCAACTAGAGATGAAGAGATAGCTCATTATAGGGCTTCCGGTATGTCATCACAGATTTATGTTATTATAGAGATTTACCGGGTACCCATATACCTCCACGTCCCCTTAGTACTGCCACTCCGAGAGCTTGGATAACACCTGCGGGACTACTAAAATCTTGCATCTTCTGCACACACGTCATTTGTTTCCATAGTAATCTCCCAACTCAAAATCCTAAATCGTCCATCCTTAGTTATTGTTATACCTTGTAAACCTTACCCTTGCATCTGTTGATTACGTTTATTGTTTTTTTTTAGTTGCAAAGCTTGAGGAAGACMTTCGAGTAAGCCATAATGTCATCCGAGACATAAACAACACCAATGACAACAAAGTGGATAAGTAAGTTCTCTCTCTCTCAAATCTTTTTCGTCTGACATTTTATGACTCAAGAATAGTCATATCGGCAAAGAAGACCCCCTTAGGGAGAGTGAAGGTTGTAAAATAAGGGTACTGGTAGCCATAGCGACCAGTATATGTGTAGGGCATGCTATGCTAAGTGATATGTGTCACTCTTGCGGCGAGGAGTTGAGATTTAATCTTATTAATTTGATTGCTTCGTTTCTATATAATTCTTATTTATATCTATTGTGTAAAAGAAATTCATGTTATTTACCGACAGGACGTTGTTGAAGAATCTCTTGCATGGCTACTTCAACACTCCTGAAAGCAAAAGAGCAGATGTCGTACACGTTATTGGTGGACTGTTAGGATTCACGCCGGAGGAAATGATGAAGGTATGTAAAAACCCTACTCTGAATCTTGTGACAAGAAGGTTTCTAACCTTTGTCAATTGTTTTTATCAAAACCTCTRATACTTATTCAAATTCGGGAACCGCCCTTCCAATTTGGGAACCGCCCTTCCGAGCTGAAAMTTAACTCAGGGAACCCGTCTCGCGCCGAATACATTTTTTGGGGCTGCGTTTAGGATGTGAAAGTTTCAGAAATATCTCCCATATCGGCAGCAAAAGGTCGGGACAGTCTTCCTTTGAACTTCAAAAAAAAAAAAAAAAAACGAACTAGACAGCTTGATACATTTTGGGATGTTTTGTTTTAGATTGGTACCGGCTCAGCTCCTCCAAGTCAGGGTGGATGGATGTCCTCTTTCTTTCCATTTGGAGGACCACCCACACCGACAGCCAAGAACATTCCAAAGGTTACAGACAAGGTGGGTTGAATATTGGTTATTTTTGAAAAAGTATCCGTAAATATGTGCAAATGCGTTACTAATTCCGCCTCTGCATTCCACTTCAGCACGCCTTCGAAACTTGCGCGCAGCAAGAAAGCAATATTTATGCTCTCTTTTTTAGTTTTTCTATTTTAGATGTTCTCTCAGACCTTTACTATTATTCTTTTCTCTCATTTTGTATAGTCATTCACGGAACTGTTCGTAAACTTCCTGCAACACGAGTCGGACGCCACTGGTACACCATTACCAGGAAGACCAGGCAACACCACTAACCCACTCCTGACAGGGCTGACGGCTAAGCCAACCCCATTGGCCCAACCACCCACGGGTAGAAGACAACCATTAGCAACCTCCACGCCTCTTCCCAGTAAACCTCCTACCCCTTCAGGTGTTGCTATGACAACGGGTGCTACCCCGTCACAGTTGGGAACTCCTGTATCGGGTATTTCACCTATAACACCAATGACTGCTCCGCGAATGCCTAACAGTGTTGCACTCAGACCGCCTATGGTTAATTCGTTTACTACAAGGTTAGTTTATTRGTCCCCTTCTCAGTTCCCTGCGCCATCTTGAGCTTGCAATGATAGAGACCTTTTTTAACACCTTGGACAATTGCCCTATTTCACTATGACGTCACATCAAAACAATCTATTGTTTAAACGCAAAGGATCATGGTCGTCGGAGGGGGTCAAATCAAYGCAAATTCACCGAAAATTGTTCTAAAACCCGTATCAATCCACGAAGAGAGGTAGAATAGCCAGCAAACGCTCAGAATATTTTTTAGTACATATTAACACATATTATATCTGAAAACCAGGCCATTTTAGATTAAACTGTTTCGCTAGGAGCAAATTTTGTTGAATTTTCTATTGGATTTGGCGATTCTATCCCCTACATAAACAAGCAGTGACGTCATAGTGAAATAGGGCAATTATTCACGTCTCTATCATTGCAWGCTCACCGTTCGTCTCGCTTCGAAGCAAAGACACTATTGGGTTTAAAATATTTGTATTGTTTCCGATTACTAACTAGTTGTTTTWACTACACATTTCAGACCACCGTCCACGCAGCCATTACCTACAAGTGGTAACCCTYTTCTCTCAATGTCGCCCGTTCAATCTTTACCTTCTATCACGTCATCTGGTCCATCATCGTTACGAAACGTTCTCTTTCAAACCGCTCCGACGCAATCACAAGCTAGATAGCTCAATTCCCTTAGGAAAATAGATTTAGGAGAGAGATGTTAGCCTAAGTTAAGAAAAAAATATTAGGGTCTTACATGTAACAGCAGAAAAATATTGCTCTAAAATTTGTAAMTCAAGAGAAATGATGCTACTTACAACTTCTTAACACATTCTTCTAGYGTAGTGTGCTAAGTTTCTTTGCTCGTGTTGGTCTTTGGACCCCTTTTTTCTACTTCTCGTTTTCAAGTGTTATTCCTCTTCTATCAATGACTGTTCTCGTCTTTGGGATTTGTGAGCCTCACTCAATAGAATCTCTTCTTCAATCTTTCGTTCTCAGAAAGTCTACACTCTTTTGAAGATAACAAAGTAACTCGAGAGAAGTTTATCAATTTATGTGCAATTCAAGTTGCTCACATTCAACAGTGACATTTTTACAAATTTTATCCTCAAGAAAAAATCTTTATGAACTTGAAATATTTGGCCGACATTTTCGGTCTTGAAGYTTCATCTGGGCTATAGTCATTTATTTACGCTTTCATACCTGAGAAAAGAAAAATGAAAGAAAAAATATTGGGTTATTTATAATGGGAGGAAATAAATATATTAAAAAAAGATTAATAAAATACGATTTTAAAAACACATCTCGTGTTAAAATATATTACTTCTGGAAAATAGAGGTTATAGGATGCAGGTTCTTTTAAGGGGTGTGCTGACCAATGTTACACCAGAAGGAATTTTGTATAATATTATGGTATTGAAATCCGKGACAATTGCGCTAAAATGAGAGAAAGAATTCCCCCACACGGTTTCTATATCAACGTCCGTTGTTGCCTAGGTTTGTTCTTTATTATTTAATCCGCCAACACTGCGTTTTTGGTAGATTTTTATCTTTAAAAGTTTTGATATTTCGTTAACAAAATTTGCGCGTCTGGACATGTGTTGCTGGTCAGCGGTAGTTAAACCTTATTGCCTAGTAACGCCATTAAACAATCGGTATTTTCCCTCGAGGGAATATTTATCCCTGGTTCTTTAATGTTTACGTCTTGAAAATGGTTTAAATTAACGGCTGTTTTTACTCGACACTAATGGCTTTACATCCTAAAGTAATTTTAAGTAGTGAGCAAATTTTGTCATTAAGAAAATTTCAGCAAATTTACGCTTTTTCATGACAAAAACGATGATTAGATTTCGAGTAAACTTCCGTTTCAAATTTTAGAATTTTTTCCAATATAACTTAGTTAAGATTATTTTATAGTTTACGGTAGCTTTGTATCAGTCATATTTCTATGGGTGAACAAGGGACTACAACTCAAACAGGTTTAGGAAACGAAGAGGATAAGGACGCTTCATTTCAAGAAGAAGATGCCGAAAATGGCGGCGGGGTTTCCTTCTACGTGAACAAAGATGGGCTGCCCATGTCATCTAAAACGTGGGAGAGAATGTGGCGCCATGTTGAGACAATACAACCTGAGAAACTACCAATATTTAACCAAATTAGAGAAAGTCCTAATCTTGAGAAGGTATGCATAGATCTGCATAGATGTAGTAAATAATGTTTTCATTTATAGCACAGCTGATTTAAGTTAACCTATATCAACAGAAAATTTTATATTTAAGCTTACATTTAGCTAAAATATCTGTAAATTACGCGAATTCTAGTGGTATGGCACATGTGCTAGAGGGATGATAATGGTGATAATGACTATGTTGATGGTGAGGATGCTGATAATGGTGATGACAAAAATGGTGGTGGTGGTGTTGAATGATAGTGATGATGATAACCATGATGATAGTGATGATGAAGATGACACTGTTGTTGTTGATTATGATCATGAGGATGAGGATGATCATATAATTAGCAGCCACAGCAGTTGTTTCACAAAACCTGACAAAATTATATTAAATTATTATTAATTATTAGCAACAAATATGGCATTTTTTATGAATATAAAACTTTTGCTGGCAGATACGATTTATGAATGATAAAATAAAATTGTAAGGTTATTTTTTTTAGAATTTAAGCATCAATAATATTAATTGCACAGTTTTTTTCTCTAGGTTCCTGTGGTCATTCCTCCTGTTTTGACAATATCAATGACAGTCAAACAGAAACTCAAAGCGATACAGGATTATTTGATACATTTACAGTATCCTAAATATTAATAATATGTATCTAAATCTATATATAGTTTGTTATCCTATCTTAGTAGCTCCAGTGTATAAGTAAATAAGGGAAGGGCTATTATTATCTATGAAAGGGGGGGGGGGGAGAGGGAAAAATCATAAGGGAAGGGGGAGGTGGTAGGTAACTTTATTATAAACACTTTAAGGGGTGAGCCTCGAAGAGAATTTTTACCAATCTTTCTCCCCTTCATAAATTATTGTCCAGTCCCTTATGTCTGGAAATCAATTCAAGCAAATTTTGTATGACATGTTATATTGATAAACTTACCACGTGATTGTGCAGCGATTGTCAGAGTGCTATAGGTACATTCACTTTCTGATCTAAGTGCCCTGTGATGCAAGTAATATCATATATAAAAATACTCCTAATTATTAAAATGAAGCAGTTATTGTTTTAACATTATTCAGATACAACCATACAGGGACACAGTTATTTGAAATAAGAAAAAATAGGCCATTGAAAGGGTAAGTACTTAGTTAGCACCCAATCGCTTCGTAAAATATTTCCCATTTTAGACCACCTATTCAAAATGAGATTCTTTGTTTGAGTTACATTCACTAAAACATTTCTGCCAATGAACAAATAAAACTCCTCAGAATAACCTATGGTTTGTCAGAGCTAAATGGATAGATGTGTATAATGTAGGTCAGAATAGACCCTTTTCTTGTTCCAAATTACTGCTGTGCTTCTTGATTACAGACTCATTTGCTCAGGCTAAGCCTCAAATCAGTGTCTAATTACTTGCAAATACCAACGGTAAAGTAAAGAATGCACAAGTTCAACAATACGAACACTTTGAAACTTGACGGACTTTGACTGGAAAACATGATTATTCTTCACAAGATCGAGGCTTAGTCTGAGCAAATGTAATCAAGAAACACAGCGGTAATTTGGAACTCGAAAAGGGTCTATTAAAATCCCTTCAAATTTTCACAAAACTCCTTCAGTACCCCTACCTCTAAAAGTACTCATGCTGCACTTACTTATACAATTTCTTGAATATTTACAGACTGATGGATACAGCAAGAGAAATCATCAGAGAATCTCTACCAATCAAATGCCTTGAAGCTGTTATAGCATCCTYGTATCCTGCATAGTCATCAGCACCCTATTCAATTGTTGAGTCAGAAATGAGCAGTGTAGGATGTGTTCTGTCTCTGGGATGAATGTCTCTATCTGAACAAAATGAAATCTCCTTGTCATGGTTTTAGGGGAAAGGGGGTCATCATCATATCATCATCATCATTTTCTCCTCACATGGCACATGATTGGCCTTTGGGGGGGGGGGGGCTGCCAGCATTAGAAATCAATGTTCCAATAGGCATGTAATGTTCTTTTTGTTTGTCATCATAATTCAAGCCTGTTGCTGATCTACTCCCAAGGGCATGCCCCCCCTGACCCTCTATTTCACATCAAGGATGGTTTCGATCAGGGTTCATAATAGCACACAGGCAATCCTTGACATTCTACAGATATCTGACAAGCAGCATTCCCGAACTACAAAGATTTACAATTAGTTTTAAGAGTCAATTTTCTTCTCAATATTACCGGTAAGTAAACCTGTTACATTGTGCCTTATAGAGCAATGTCTTTCTGTTGACTTAACTCCCTGTTGTTTGATGAATGTTTTCTAGTCATATCGTTCTTGGTGTTGTGGCCAATAGTAAGTATGGAGCCCTTGGTCTTAGTAGGAGAGAAGATCTGATGTACAAGCCTCTTGAATTCAAGGTAAAGACCACTACTTTGAGCAGAGTCTCCTCTCTGTAGTTCTCTCTCTTCTCTCGGCGGCCTGTATCGCTAGTGCCAAAGGAAAATAGACCTTTTTTAGCTTCGTTGTTCGTTGTGCAGATTTCAGCTGACCATGTGATGTCACTCTTTGGCGTTGATTCTTTCATGTGTAAATATTTTAATATATTCGTCATAAAAGAACAATTCTCAAGGGAATGACATGTGATCTCGAATAGGCAATTTGTATACGAAACTAAAAAGGTCCATACAGACTCTGCCAACTGTTTTGCAGTACTGATGATCAAGTTCCTGCTAGTAGTAATGACGATAGGGATATTCGAGGACTCGAATCTAGACGCGAAGAATGGTTTGAATGTATACACAGTGCATAAAAAAGAAGTATCTTTGATTGATCATGACCCACTTTAGACCCAAGATCCCTTTTATTTTTATTGCATGCATAGTAAGAATAGCTATAAATACCAGGGATTGGAGTCAGCACGAGAGAAAATTAAGAGAACGGCAAAATAGATAAGAATACTGAGGATGATCACGCATTCAATACTGATCTATATGCTAATTCCCATTCATTTGCAGTCTTTGYTTGATTTGATCAACGATTTCATATCMTCCTACGGTAAATGTAAGTATGCACTACATTTGAGGATTGGTACGAGAGCGCTATTAATGGAGGGGGGATGGGTAGATGAGAGAATTATTGGAAACAGAATGACCCTTACTCAGCTGTCTTCAAAGAAATGCTGGCCTTAATCATTGTACTTTGGTACGATGCGTCATAGCTGTGCCATTATACTAATTCCAGGTACATCTCTTCCAGATGATCACTCAGTCAAGAGAATCAAACTTAGTTTGCCCATAGTTCATGATTTGCACAGCTGTGAGAAAATCTACTGGAAGGTAGGTACTAGATAGAACTAGCTACTAGGTAGAATCTCATGTGCAACCGTTAAACAAAGGAATGATACTCAAGGAATAATGCGTGATATGTAATGGGAAAAAATTACGCCCAATGTAAAGAAAGCTATAGGGTAACGTAAGATGATATTGCAGGCCCCTCCGTTTATATAGAGGCTACTCTTGCTGCTTTTATCTCCTTATCTTGTGGAATGATTATCAAATGCTTTTAGTCTTGCGCAGTTGACTATGAGTTTTGTATTGCAAGATTGTGCTAGAAATGTTATATTTTATAAATTTTGTTTTCCAGTATATTGCCTTCRATCCCAATAAGCTGGGACAAGCAGACATGAAGAAGTTGCTGGATAAATATTCTCGTGAAATCAAACTTGCGGTAGGCTATACGACATCTCAATCAAAGGATTGTCTTAATTATGGCATTCGTTTTAGGGGATCATSGTCTATTTCGTTCATAATTTATCCAATTCTTTTGCAGGCAAATTATTATGTGACATCTCCTAGGAAACAGTTTGACAATCTATCTACGTCATCATAAAAGAGTGCGTTCAGTACTCCCTCGCTGGGTGTGGTTATTCATTGTAAGTACATCATTGTATTCATGATAACTGTTTGATTCTCGGTTTCTGATTGGCTGATTGACTAAAAGATTGACAAATTTGATTTTTGATTAATTTATCAAGAAAATAGGCGACCATTTTGAAATGTACTTTTGTGTCCGAATGAGAGAGGTTTGACTTATTATTCTCATACTCATTAATAATTCATGWGTAAASCAGCCAATCAATGGGCTATTTTTGGGTCACATGATGTTACTTGAAACCTGGTAAAGTGCTGTGAAAGGAATGCATTCAGTCTGGAGTAACTGGAACAAAATTAATTCAGTCCTAGGACTGAATTAATTTTGTTCCAGTTAGTCCAAGTCGAATAATTAATGAGATGAGAAGTCATTTCAAAGCCTCCAATATCGGACTGGACGGGATTTCAAGTCCGCGCAATTAGTTCCAATTAGTTCCAACTAATTGCTTTGACTTGAAATCCCGTCCAGTCCTCATTGTCGGCTTTGAAATATTACTTAATATAAAGTAAAGTCTTGGTATGGACACCTCTGTTATACGAACACTTCTTCCATCCCTTGGGCGTCCGTATTACAGAGGTTTGGCGTTCTTCCTTCYGTCGATACAAACACTATATAATAAWCTTTCTTAGGCTTTTAGTAGTTAGCATTTTAAAATATCCCAGATAAGTGGCATAACTTTCCCTGACTCTCCCGGGATAGTACTAGGAAGAATATCAACAATTAACGTCATGGCAATGTAAAGGTGCTATACTATTTGACAGCTTGTAGTGAGTCTTGAGAGGTAGTGACGCATTGCGTGGTAAATCGGATGACACACTACGACAAACTATTGCGTATTTGTTAAGTATATCGTAGAACGGATTTCACGTGTGTCCGCGTGTGGTATGTGTTCGGGATCTACACTCAAATGGCTTTAATTCCCTCTAAGCCAATGAAAAAGCAAAGAATCACWCCCTGGAATGCTTGTAAACGGAAGCCTCTCAAATGGCACTTTCGACTCATATGAAACGTATGTGGTGATGATACTGGTATTTTTTACACCCACCTTTTCGTCAAACCAGCCAAGTGTGAGTGAAGTTTTTTTTAAATTTTTAGTTTATCTGTGGTACATTGTCATTTTTAACCAATAAATACGATGTGAAGAGATTGCGACGTAGAATGAAAATAATGCGCTTTACTTGAATTACATTAACGCTAATCCGATAAAAGCATTTTAGAATCTAAAAACATCGACAATACAAATCAGTCCTTATTCAAATATTTTACTCTTGTTGTCCAGCTGAGAATAAATGGAATATTGGAAAATAAAAAATGGAAGAGAGAAAGATGCAACATTAGCTGAAAGTCGCTACTCAAACGAAACAAAACGAAGACCATTCATGAGTCTTGTTGTTGAAGAACCGTGAACAAGAGATCCATTAAAGGACAATTAGAAGGCGGAAAGTGTAGAAACTCAAGATGTGGTGGTAATGGATGTTGAATGGGATGTGGTTATGATAATACACCACGATGCTAGCTGCAAGATGGTTTGTTATTTGATCTCAGACATTGATCGACTAAAATAAAATATTATCTTAACATTTTTTTTGAATTCAAAAATGAAACAATGTATACAATACTCCAGTAAAAGGRTGAAAAACGAAAAACGAATGGAATTAGCTAGGAGATGTATTTTTTAAAAACACCTTTATTTTGCTTAAGAAAGTRATAAATATTTTGGGAAAACTTTCTAAACAAAAAGATTTAGATTACCAAATCAAAAAGGACGGGTCGAATATTCGTTGAAAGTTGAAAGTCCTTTCTGACTCTTTCTTTTGACGAATAAAAAATTCTGTTTCCTACATGAATATTAATAAGAAGATTTTTTTCGGGCAAGAACAAAAACAGACTATCAAGGAAACATTTTCTCCGCGTTTTTTCCCTTTTTTCTGGGATTCCTGTGGTTGTTCTTTTCCACTCTATAAATGTCGCCAAAACAAACAATTTCGCCGAATAATAAAACCACCTCTGGGCTAATGTTAGACCGGGGACAGCTGACTTACAGATAAAAATGGACCTTGGGTGATCCTAATATTGTTAACTACTTTTCCAGAGGATAAACGCCACGCCTTTAACCCTCTTAACTCCTCAGTTATTTCAAACAACTCATATTAATGYCTTCGCGTACAAAATATTTCATAGGTTATAATAAGGTTAATCTAATAAATATCTCCCAATTTTTACCACAATGTTTTTGTTGACCTTGTCCTTGTTGTACTGACGGCCCTCATTTCATCATCCAATTAAAGGAAAACTCTTGCTCAAGATTTTATAAACTGGATGTTACATCTCACTGATTCCTTCATTCATATAGCTCAACTGTCCTGTTATGACAAAAAGAGGGTAAAAAATATGATAAATATTTTAAGAGATTCAATAAACATTGTTGAATTRTGAATTAAAACTAATGAAATGGATGGGRAAAAAACATGAAAAAGCTAGGAGGTTTGAATGAGAGGAAATCAGGATAGATACTATCTTAACCGGAAGTAAACCGGCACTGTTTAATCAAACAAAGTAGATCAAAATCAATCATATCATGTCTTAATGCTTCACCTAAATTTTGATCATTTATAACCTTGTCGAAGCTGTACAAAACACCCAAGACGTGATAGAATCGAGACATGTCGAAAGCTCGCGGGCTTAATGGGGATCTAGGTGTCTGGAGGTGTGCTTTTGTTTTACCTCCAGCGAAGCCATTAAACTATTATAATGCTTTATAAATAGTAGAGAAGAAGAGATTTAGAGCTGTGGAAATATGCTCGCTATCAGATATATCAACATTTGGTCATTCAGAAATATAAAACCTAGGTCTAATGTATACAGCTATTTTGAAAAAGGCTTTCGCATGTTGCACGTTGTTTACCAATCTTAAAGGGTTTCATATTCATATGTAACTAACTGATCAACAAAAAAGAAAATATGCCGGAAAAACGTACAGATTAAATTTGGGAAAATTTTATATTGTCGTRACCTTTCGGTAATCGAATTCACGTCGCCCATAGTGCATTTCGGGCTTGGATACAACATGAAACAAAATCCTCACCAACCTTCTTTAAATAGCTGCATACATATTGCTACAAATTACTCTTTTAACTCCATTTCTTCTTTCTTACTCATTTGTGGGGGTCTTCATTTGTGTAGCATTTGTGATCATTTYTTGAAAGGGAATTTCACCTCAGTGGGTTACCTGTGGACAAGGAGTCCTTGGAGTAAGTAACTCAACTCGGTATTTTGTTTTGGCTCAAATGAAGGGTTTGTAATAAGCTAAAGTTGAACAAACTATTCCATCGAGTAAATAGCGTAAACAGGCATGTTTTAAATGAGCTTCTAATTATTAAGTGCTCTTTTGATACGATGTTTTGAACCTTTTGATTCAAATCCCCTCGGATCAGGCTGGGATCAATGGACGTCACTTTAAGAGGACTAGAAAACGACAATGTGGTGCCTTGTGTTATTAGATCTGAAGGACTATAATCTTGTGTATTGGACGATAAGATTACGAGTCTTTTGTGGGGCTTGATAGGAAATGACTTTTTGAGTTGGGCTTGAATCGGAGGATGATTTRAAATATATATAAATGCATGGTCTAGGTAATTTAAAGGAGAAAAAGATAAAAAACGTTTAGGATTTTCTTAAAAGGAAATTATTTTAAAATAATATAGCTAGCATTAAAAAAACGTTGATGTAAAAACGTTGGAGACATATAACGTTATTTGCACTCTTGATGTTTAATTACATAAATATAAAAAGAAAATAAAAAACTAAAAGTGGAACTCGTACCATTAACGTTTTCAAAAAAAACACGTAAACAAACAAACCAGACAAACTAACAACAACAAACAAACGAGCAAATAAATAAATGAATAAGCAAATAAACAAGCAA